ACGAAACGTGCTCGATATTCAATAACCACATGGGTGAAAAAGACAAGGGACCAGTGGTGTCCTTGCGCCAGCAAATAGCTATAGCTATAAGCACATTAAGCACAAGCTTAATCAATAAATAATACATTCTGAAATAGCATACAAAATAATCAAACACTTAAATACCAAATACCAATCATAACGAAATTCTGCAGTTTTAATTAATTTTAATAATTTTAATAATATAAGAAAACCTAACTTTTCTGCTCTTAATATACCCATTCACAAACTGCTGTTATCAAAGTCAAGTGATCATCTTTACCTGTATTTACGCTTTTCTATTCATTTCATGAAAAGGCCTGCGTGCATGAACAGCAGTTCACGATCTCTTTAGCCCACAAACGTTGACTATTACTGTGTTTATGCGACGCAATTTTCAGTTTTCATGTTTAATTCAAAGTGTCTATTCGTGTGTGATGAACAGCATTACACGAACTCTTGAACCCACAATGCCCTTTTAATTTAGATTGGTAAATTTGGTCTTAAAGGCGTTTTATACCAATTTATAAGCGGATTTTTCAAGCGCTGGTTGTTTCCTATCGACTGAGGCAATATGAAAGCATGTATTTGGCTGTGTCGCATAAACGACGGCTAGTTGAAGTTCATGCTTTCAGAAAATCATGAATTCTCATGGCATAAACGTACTCATTATAAACGCTTTCAGCTTTCAACACAGATAACTATATTTCCTGGATAAGCGGCGTATATAAGCTAGAAAACCGCCAAGTTGGCAGCGTTGGTGCGGCAAAAGGGCTCAATAAAAAATTGAATTGAGCATTTCCGGGTGGACAGCGCTTATGGCAACCGTGTGGGCAACCGGACAACGGCCCATGACTGACCCATTCAATTAAGCATGAAAAAAAGTTGTTGAAAAAATGGGGGAGTGGCCGTGGAGGAGCACGACGTGGCCGTCTAGTCCATAAAAAAGGACATCACTTAAGGAGCAACTCGGACAGTGGCCGCAACAAAACACGCATCACTTGTCACACATACTTATGGGCGTGGGCATGGGCGTGGGTACAGTAGAGCCCCCTTCCGTTGACCCCTCCGGGAAATCCCCTCAGTCATGTCCTGGTGTTGTTATTGAGGTGTAATACAATTTTTTGCCATGATACCCCATAACAATGGCTGAAACAGAAACAGAAACGGAGACAAAAAAAACTGTTCTGGATTTCACGAGACTTGGCGAATTGAAATCGTTGGGGTGCTCAAAACACTCCGTAGAAAATACTAAGTATATATATTTCAATAATTTTCTCTTAAGGTACTTTACTGGTTTTATTAAATACTTGTATAAAATGTGCTATTTTACTAAAGTTAGTGTTATTTTTTAAATATACACGTGCAGTTAGGAGTAGTATTCTCTTCCCTAAACTAAATTTAAAAAAAAGGAAAGAATTTATAAATATTTTTTGCAGTATTTTTGCTGATTGCGCTCCTGAAATGAATTCGCAATGTGGAACATTGCCAAACTTGCGTGTAGACTGAGAAATCGAATCAGAAAAGGTTAACGAGTCCTGGGCACATATGGCGTCATTAGTTTGGGATCGGGATAACGGGGATAGGAAGGACGAGGGGCACGGGGCACGGGGCATCCAATCGTGGACAACGCATAAACTTGCAATTGAGCCAATTTGTAAAAGTGCGGCAAGCCCATTAAGATGAGGTCCTGGCAGTCGGGTCCTGGCAATCGAACGCCGACCAGGACACCTGCTCCTTCTCTGGATTCACCCCCATGTGTGTGTGCGAATATGTGTAGATGTGCATATATTCCAGATAGCCCTTAGCCACCCAGTCCCAACCAAAAACGAAACTTTTGTTGGGCATCTACTTTGCATTACAAGCGCCCACATTAAAATTAAAATAAAGTTTTCCTGGGAATATATATGTGCAATCCCTTTCAGTGCCGTCCAGTCCCTTGCTTTTTGGTTACTCGGCTCGTTTTCCCTTTTATTATTTTTTTTCTGCAACTACAAATAAATCTAAAACTCGCACATTTCTGATGGATACTTACACTTAAACTCACACACGAGGACACAAAGGATACGGGTCGGCCGCAGTTGGCCGTTCGCAGTTTTATTTTTGCATTTACATCAGCCCACATGCATTATGCATACGTACTTATATACACGGGAATACATAAAAACATATATGGCAGATATTTATCCATCTGCGTGGAAGATGTCCTTTGCATACCCTTTCCAATTAATTATTAACCGGCTGGGAAACTTGCGAATAAATATATTCAGTGCTAATGGAACTAAGACTGAAAGATGTCAAAGTGAGCAAGAAAGTATTTTACTGGAAAAAATGAAATTCTAAAATTCTAAAATTGTGTTGAACATGTATGTACTCAGCATAATCGAATTCACCTAGAGGGCATCAGCACTTTCGAGTGTTTTAGTTGCTGCCAGCGCCACATTTGAGTTTAACTTCACATTTCTTGTTGAATTTCATGTTAAGTTGCGTTCTGGGTCCCTTGTTTGATTTCTTTTTTTCGGATTCACTATAGACATTAAAACAAAGCGCTGGGCACAACAACCAAAGGGGGGCAGCATAAAAATAAAGTATGCAAAAAGTGAAACAAAAAGGAGCTCCGGGCACAAAGGATGCAAAAGGATACAATAATATCCTTAAGCTTCGAGTGCAACATGAATTTGTCTTTGCTCGACTGGACTTCTCGACCTTTTCCCTCGTCCTGCGAGTCGCCTTGGCGAGGCCAGAAAAAGATAAATAAATGTACAGCCATATATGGGAAAAGTAAGACAAAAAAAACCGAGAGAAGCAAAAAAGGATACTCGAACTTTACAAATGCATGCACATTAGAGAGATTTGCGTGTGTATGTGTGTATGTGTGTTTGGGCATGTGTGTGTGTGTGGAAAAGCAGGGAAAGCATTCACATGCGACGCATAAGATTACTACCCACACACTCGAAAAGCCAACGTCCTTTGGTCCTTTGGTCCTTTTTGCCTTTGCCTTTGCCCTTGCCTTTGCCTTTGTCTTTAGCTTCGACACTTATTTTAATTTATTTCATTTTCATTTATGTACAACGCTTCAAATGTCCTTTTTCCTGCGCTGCCCTCTGTCTGCGTGTAATTAAATAAAAACGACTTACTGCCTCACCCACACACTCGCATCTCGATGCGTTTGAATTCTTCAGCAAGCTTTTACTTTAATTGCCCCAAAACAACTTGGGGTATACAAAGTGTACGGGCCCTAAGATCTCGGCGTGAGAACTAACTATTTTTTGCAATCGAGCAGCAAAAACCGAAACGGTATGAAGTCCAAAACAGTTTCGAGTTACAAATTCCAAAACGCAAGTGCAATACAAATATTGTTAAGCCCATCTTCACTAATCTACTTGCGAAATATCAAATAGTTATATAAAAGAATGCTTATTTAAAAGCTACGATTGTATGATGATTGTAGTTAACGGGTATCTGATAGTCGGTGCGATATGCATAAGCTACGATGGAATGATGATTGTAGTTAACGGGTATCTGATAGTCGGTGCGTTATGCATTTTATTATGATAAGTGCAAAGATTAAGGGATTCATTCAATGATCCAGGAGCTTCCATCAAGCTCCAGATCGAAGCCTCTCGACTCCGGAATTAAGAAAATTCAATTCGGCTAGAAGAACAGAAGGGACAACGAAGTCGGAAAAGGACGAAAAGGACTGAGAATAAGAAAGTGATAAGAACATCTGAGGTGTCCCGTATAATGGTCTTTTGACCCCCTGGGTGAGATTCGATCCGAGCCGAGCTGCTGCCTCCTACGATTTCCATTACCAGGAGCTAACCAACGAATTAAATTTCAAATCGCAACATACAAAATAAAGTCTCTAGCTGGCATTATAAATGGTATTAAGTCCCTATCATCTATTGCAAGCTAGCTAATCAGAGTTTGATTTATTCAATGAATGATGCGGAAACCTTTGCGGTTGGTGGTGCTATCATTGATCTGCTCCGACATGGGATTGGTTTTCCATTAGTGGTTCATTCTCAAATGATTGCTATAGTAACGAGGAGTCCTTTCATAGTGGAGAAAGTGATAGGCAAATTTGGTATGGCACGCGTGTTTGTCATCTCCTGGTTTTTGAAGGAATATATAAGATATACTGCTACCCATCAATAACCTCTACCAAAAACTGAGGTTGACTCCCTCTAGCTGCTTGTGGAGTTTTATCTGGGGAAGCACTCCACTTAGCTGGGCTCCTTCCGACTTTGGGCTCCTCAGGCTTGTCATCGGAATCCGTCCCTCATTTAGTAGATTCCACACAGAGCGGTCGACCCCAATCGGCCTTCCAACTGCACCATGCATGACTTTTTAGATCTGTAGGTGTACAAATGCAAGCTAACCTTCCATCCAGAGACATTAGACTCTTTAACAGGATCATTGTGTCATCCTGCGCCAAAGTGTTGTACTTTCGTCTAGATAAGAAATTGATAAATAAAGTAGTTCAGCGTAATAGTTAATTAAGTGTTATTCCGAACGAATAATTTCTGAGATGCCTCCATTGACAAATTATTTATGAATCAAATATGATACCAATTTAAAATCCGTTGACGCGGTAGTGGACATTAATCATCAAGGAATGTGAGAAAATATAATTTTAGGGAAAATAAAGCAATATGCGCTGATCAAGAACATAAAATAAAGTATATATGTATATCCAAAATTGTTAGAAACTGCTGAACTACTTAACTACTGGCGCCATCTATCGGCGGTAAATGTTTACCACGAAACGCAAGCAAAGCGCCAGAGGGCGACACAATTTTTCGGACAAGATGGCATCACTATTTGTACAATATTGGTGTCTCGTGCTTAGAATTTAATTGATGATTAATTGTTGCAAATATTGTCGCAAATTTCATCAGTAGCCTTCAATTGGATAGAACAATCGATGCCGCTGGATTTCCGAGTGCAAATAATATAATTATCGTTATCGACGCGGCCACACCGTGCAAAGCAAAAATATCGAGGTACTATGCGCCCGATAGCTAGCACAAATTTATCGATGACAGTCTTGTTAAATTATTAAAAAAAAAACAAGTTTGTACTTGAAAAGTACGGCGTATATCCACGGCGAAGAACGCAAGCATCCGCCAAGGAAACGTCCGATGCAGCTGCCATCCGCTCAAGCATTGAGCCCGGAATCCGGATGAATCCCGGCGAGGATGTGATGTGCGCACTGGGCCCTCTCCGCTGGTCGATATAAACTCGTGCCCCCCACCTCTTCTGGCCAACATCCTGCTGTCCACCGCCTGCTCATCCCTCTCCACAGAGTCCCAGTCCTCCATAGCCATCCATCGCCACCGCCTGGAGATTCGGCCATAGTGGAAGGCCTTCCGGTAGCACGGTAGTTCCAGTGGAACCAGGCACACGGAGATCGCGGTGTCTTGGAAATCGGCGGTGCACGGAAACCGCTGCGCTAGAGGGTGGCATCAGGCACTTTGCCCAGGAACCTGCAGTCGAGGAATCTGCGACGACATCTAGAGTTGCCATTGACCTGCGGAGCACCCCACATCTTAACAAAAAGATGTGGTAAAAGTTGTGAGTGCGCCAATCCATAGAGTGGCAAGAAGCATTGCGATGAAGTCATTAATCCAGGTCTAGATCTTCAAGCAGATTTCAAGAGCCTCAGACCCCAAGAGGGAACCTGGCAAAGCTAGCCAGGAATGAAATCTTAGGCCCGATAATTCACCCAAAATAGCGCTACACTTGGACGCCGTAAAAGAGAGCCTTGAGGCAAGGAATCGGTGGCATACGTGGACAGTTGCAGATAACTTAACATCTGGAAATCACCCGCACCAAACGGAGCTGCAACTAGTAAACTAGTACCTATTTGCAACCAAAAAACCGACACACGGAAGCTGCATCTTAAAACCAAGTGGGGAACAGCAGGATCCTTAGGGTTCCACGGAGATGGCCACCGCATCGCTGGACGCACTGCAGGCAGCCTACGTTGACTTCAGTGAGCTAACACTAAGAGAGGTGTGCATCCCAAACGGAATACCCAAAGTGCAGAGCTCCTACTGGGCTAAACACAATCTTGAAATGATAAAAAGCCCGTAATCATGCTCCAATTTGGGCGGAACAAGTGCTCAGCTGATGATTATCACACTTTCAATGCCAATTCCTCATTCCAAAAAACGTGTAAAGTTCCATTTTGTCCTAAGAGAATATGCTTTGTAATAACTATGGCAAATCGTTTCTTAAAGTCTGAAAACCCAAAAGGATTTCATAGTGAAAGGAATAAGGAAGCAGTGCATTCATAAACTACTGACTGTATGCATCTCAGCATATTTATATATAATACATGATATGATGACATCAGTATGATAAGAAATGAAATTCAAATTTGCACTTGTTATTTCAAATTTGTGTTGGCCCCAGGCAAAGGTGTATAGCTCAATTGGTTTTGAGAAGTTTTGCACAAAGGCACAGCTTTAAATTCAGATTCAGATCTAATACCTCACCATTTTCCCCCGCAGAAAGTCGGCCATGGGTCCTACGGAGTGGTCTGCAAGGCCGTCTGGCGCGATAAGCTGGTGGCCGTCAAGGAGTTCTTCGCCAGCGCCGAGCAGAAGGACATCGAGAAGGAGGTGAAGCAGCTGTCGCGCGTGAAGCATCCGAACATCATCGCTCTGCACGGCATATCCTCGTACCAGCAGGCCACCTACCTGATAATGGAGTACGCCGAAGGTGGATCCCTGCACAACTTCCTTCACGGCAAGGTGAAACCGGCCTATTCCCTGGCCCACGCCATGAGCTGGGCGCGCCAGTGTGCGGAGGTAGGTCGCCATCAACCCCTTTTCCATTCAATTCGTTGATATTATCTGGTGATATAATGACTCAAATGGTTTCGGTTACAAAATTGCACACCTATACCGCCTAACTTAATGGTAATTTGTATTAATTACACTTCGATTTGTTTTACCCGAAGGGTCTGGCATACTTGCATGCCATGACGCCGAAACCCCTGATCCATCGCGACGTGAAGCCGCTGAACCTGCTCTTGACCAACAAGGGGCGCGATCTGAAGATCTGCGACTTCGGCACGGTGGCGGACAAGTCGACCATGATGACGAACAATCGCGGCAGTGCCGCTTGGATGGCGCCCGAGGTCTTCGAGGGCTCCAAGTACACGGAGAAATGTGACATTTTCAGCTGGGCCATTGTGCTATGGGAGGTGCTGTCCAGGAAGCAACCCTTTAAGGGCATCGACAATGCCTACACCATCCAGTGGAAGATCTACAAGGGTAATGTGTTTCACTTAGCTCATCTCCCATCGACTCTATAAGCTCTGCGTTCCTCGTAGGTGAACGCCCGCCGCTGCTGACAACCTGCCCCAAGCGCATCGAGGACCTGATGACCGCCTGCTGGAAAACGGTGCCCGAGGATCGCCCCTCGATGCAGTACATAGTGGGCGTCATGCACGAGATCGTCAAGGACTATACGGGGGCGGACAAGGCCCTGGAGTACACTTTTGTTAATCAGCAGGTGAGGTTACACAGCTGTGAAGGAGTTGCCTTGATGAAGAAAGCATTCGATTTGAGTATGGGATTCATTTGTTGTGAAACACGTGATGGGAATCGCACTAACTACAAGCATTTCCCCATACGGATTAGCTTACGGATTTTGCGCCCTTCCCTTGTCCACGTAATACTTACTCTTGATCCTTGAACTGCTCGCAGATTGTCACCAAAGAGAGCGACGGCACGGTGGCCGCTCAACCGGATAGCCTCAGTTCGCAGGAGGGGGAACTGAGCCCCTCGTCCACACAGTTAACACCGACAACGGCGGCCAACGCCAATGTGAACGCGATAGCAATAACAGAAACAAGCACTAGCTCAATGACCGAAAATACCTCATCAACATCATCGGACATCACGCCGACGAACTCGGGCCAACTTGACAATAATCCGCTATTCCACATGGTCAGCAATCGCTGGGACGCGATTCCCGAGGAGGATAGCAACGAGAGCCGGAACGATAGCTTCAACCTCACCTCTTCGGCGGAGGCCACTCAGCGCCTCGAGACGATCCGGAACGGGATGATCCTGATGGCCTGCAAGCCCATGGAGCAGCTCACCCTCGACGTGGAGGCGGTACGTCTTGCGATGGCTCTAAATTGAGGAAATTCGCCCAAAGTGTAGTTATATGTCGGGTGTTATTGGGAAGATTTCGTGCATTTCTATGCTCAAATAAGTTGTATTGATCGTGAATGCAAATTAAGTTTGTTTATATGCCAAAGTATATAGATATAAATTTAAAAAGTTCTTTAAAAGAAGCTTTTTGATATATTTATGTATATATAAGATTTATTTAAAAGCAAAAAAGTTGCACAGAAACCCCTAAATTGTAGAGTAATACTAATTTGGCCTTGAGCTCCGTCGGTTTTTCCCAAAAACCCCACTGACCTATAGCTGTAACATGCTGACCACTTAGTAACCGTGTCCTACGTTCTTTTTCCCACAGAATGGCTTTGATCTGAGTCGCAGCGAAAGCAGCAGCAGCAGCACGAACGGTGAGTCTGCCATCGGGAATGTCTGATTGTACGCCTATGTCTATGAACCCACCTGCTGTCCGTTTGTTTTCCCCCGATTTTCATCCGTCTGCCATGAATCACACGCACTTTGGCGTCGGGCTGAGACACAGTGGCGTGGTCCCCTTTTATATAATGCCATTTAAGAACAACAACCACAAAGATTCACAACTGATTTCACCAATCGCACCTATATCTATGCAGAGTACTTATTTGTGGAGCAGTAGATACTGTTCCAAAGGCATCACTGCAAGAAACATTACTGCCCAGGACAAAAGTTCGAAGGACTCGTGTTGGCAGTCATAGATAGGGGCCTAATAAATCGCAAAAATGATCAATGTATCTTATGTATTCAACAGAGAGCACAATAGGTTTACTTAACAGGTGTTAGCGACTAGGGTATCCGTGTGTCGACTCCATTAATCGTGTGCACCTCCGCAGGTCACTCTTACTAGAGCGTCGCAGCTTGACGCATTGTGTCCACTTGGCCACTTCTGTGGCACGACAGCTGTTCGCTTTTGGCTCCCGCCAAAATAGGCGCAGGTGACGCATTTTCGCCCAGTGTAAACAATGCACTCGCCATCGCGCCATCTCTGTCCCGCCCATTGCCCAATGCCTGGTTAATTGGCCGCCGCGGTGTTTGTGCACAATGTATATGCGAATGCACGAGGTATCTTTTGAACATTATTCAATTGTCAATGGTCTGGCTTTGCGGCTGCATAAATTATAAATATTTAGTGCGCTCATTCGCATCGGATTTGATGGGATCGAATCTCGTAATGCTGTGGGCGTACATGGTTGGGATAGATCGGGAATTTCTTAGCCATGAATCTAGCCTATTTTTAATTCAAGCACCCATTATTCCAAATGTTTTCAAATTGCTTAGGGCGCAGAGCTTGATTTCATGTACTTTGAAAGTTAAATGGGTGGTAAGTCCAGGGTATAAATATATAGGAAGAAAATTTAGTTACACATGAGCTAGACATTTTGTAACACTTGTACTTTAGTTTCCATCAAAAAGGCATATCCGAATGCATTAGAAACCAATATACCCCGCGGCAATTCCACGGTAGCAGCACCAAATAGTTGCACAAAATTTCGCTGCACAATTAAATAATTTGTAATTTGTTAGCCTGGCAATTTTGGGACAGATTTATAGCCGCAGGCATGCTCCGTCGCTGATGCCCGGCGAGCATAAACCACAACACCCCGCTGGGCGGAGAGAGGAGAGAGGAGAGGAGGCAGGTGGGGCAGCGCTCGGGAAGATCGGGGCAGATATACACGTAGAAGTATAGGAACGCACACATGACGATGCGATCGCCACGGACTTTTGAGCATCAGCCCCAGCGAAACGCGAAACATGACTCACCCGGCAATAATCTCACTTTTATTTCGATTTCGTCTATATGGCCCAAACTCACACACACACTTCAGATCGTAGAACTTATATATAGATCGGCGCATATAGCGGATATATGTGCGGGGCGATGTTGCCGATTTGTATAATCGGTGGGAGCCGTCGAATCGAGTGGCCAAATCTCACTTGGCTCTCGGTTGACACAGACGGACGAGATCTCCGACTTACATATCCACATAGATGCCATATGCCTATGCTATATGCCATATGCCATATGCCATATACTGCGTACTACATGGCATATACTACATGGGATTTGTATCTGGCACATGGTATATGGAGCCCATGTACTGCGCTGGCAATGTGTAAATAGTAAATGCATCAACAGCGAGTCGAGATACTTTTTGGCTCTCAATGTGCTCGGAGTTCGCCGGCTGCGTTAGATTCTATTACACAGCAAAAAAAAATGCGCCATTCAATGGCTTCACATCCAGCATTCAATTATATTTACACCTTGAGCATAGGATTTGCAATAAATCAGCCAGTTAACACCAATCTGATTGTGAGTTAAACTAGCCCAACAATCAGTACGATTTTCCCTCAGTGCAGGCCAATTATTCCGCTCTCCGCCAACCGCCCCGCCCCCTGAGATTTCCCAACTGCAGATGCCAACTGCATTAATCACCGAATTCGATCAATGTTCGCCCCATCGAATTTGAATGAATCTTCATTGACTTTTGGTTCGTCATGGAATTCGGTGGGTGGTGGGTGGTTGCCTATTCATCGGGGCATCTCGCTCGATAGGGTTATCTTTTCTCGACCCACTACAGGGTGACTTACGATCGATACAGTAGATGGGAATAACTACTTTTTCCTACGATATCTATGATTGGTAATGATTGCATCTTGCCAAATGAAACATCATTATGTTGGATGAGAACATAACTAGGTCTTAGTGAGTCATACTCGCCGAGTATCCGATTTTAACTGATCAGATATATGCCCTTCCTAGGATACTTAAGAGGTATCTACATGAAAGACCATTTGTGTAATTTTCGGCAATTACTTTGTAATTTTTCGACTGTACTGAAATCACTTGTGCTTAGAAATCGGTTAAGTGCTGAGTCACTGAGTGCGGTTTTCGAAAACGTTTTCGAATCAATTCGCCAAATGACTCACCACCACACCGCCGATGATTGGCCAGTGCCCAACCCGTGTGTTACTGCGTGTCCCAGGGAAACGAAACCACTTAACCCGCACATCTTGGGGCGTATACCGCCCCGCCGAGTGGGAATGATGCCACAGATTTGCGTTCTGGCCGCGTCATCGTCATCGGGGCCTCCGTATATAGTATATAACCTCCCCCACACCGAATCACCCGGCGGTGCCGGACCGATCCGACCGATCTTGCCACGTCTGCGGAGCGTTTCTGAAGGCAATCCCCGGCGCGAGAATTGGCGCGTTTGTTTGCTTTACGGCGGACGTGGACGTGGACGTGGACGTGGTCGTGGTCGTGGTTGTCTCGGCTTTGGCCTCAGTCTGCGTCCGAGAGCCGTGCGATATTGAGTGCTACGCGAAATGTTCCGGAGTGATCGGGATCGTCTGCAGCGCACTTTGCCGCGGCACTTGGCCGAAACGAACCTCTCGGCCAGAAAAATCGGCGTTGGCCAGGAAATGCCCCCTAAAAAAGCGTCGAAGCCGCCCGTTTGCGATTGAAATTTCCACAACATTTTCGCGATTTGTTTGCGGTTTGTTTTCCCCCGAATCGAAAACAACCAATTGGGAAAAACAACAAGAAGGCACAAGTGCTGTTCGGTGGAAAATCAGCAAGCAGAACTCAACTGAACTGAACTGAACTGAACTGAGTTGTATGTGCGGAAAACACGTCATCGCAAGAAAAACAGAGGCGGAAAAAAGAAAAGTGCCAGAGTGCGGGTACAAGCAATGTAAAGGATTTTCATCCGCATACTAGTGTTGAGTGTGGAGCGTCTTTCGATGCGATTTCCACATAGCCACAGAGCAAATACAAAGATCCTGGAATCTCAAGATGTGCGATACACGCGCCCTGATCAACACCAAACAGACCAACGATCTGCACAGTTGTTGGATCATATATAGTAGGTGCATTCTGGCGGAAGTTACTTTTTAGTCGGATGAATTCACAGCCCACTAGCTTCTTTCAGATTCTCACAATAAATATTTACCTAAAACCCTCATTGATTTGAATAAATAACAGCTTAGGCATTAGCAGCTTAACAAAAATCGTTCTAGGATGATTTCAAGAAGTTCATAGATTCATGTATCATGTATTTTTAAAAATAAAATACTTCACTTTGCTTTTATACATTTTGGTAAACCATGAGTTTTGGGTGGCAGTAATAGGAAAATTCGGTTGACTAGCCATTTATTTTGCATCCTAATGAAGGCCACAAAACCATTTATGTGCCACATTATCAAGGCCTGAACACTGAAAGAAATAATCGGCTAACTTAAAACTAATTAAGTAGCAGTAGTATTTGTTTTTAAATTCTAGGGTGTTTTGTATCTTAATTGTCTCTGAATCTGAATTGGCACTATTCCTTATTTATTGAGTACTTGCTTGGGCCTTAAACTAATAATATTGCCATTGCAGCAAAAAGCGATGGCCGCGAACGACTCACGGTGACGGACACCAAGCCGGTGATGATGACCACGGATCTGACCAACAACAACAACAACAGCGGCAGCCACGCCCACGCCCACGCGAACGGACTGCTGAGCCATGCGAATGGGCGGCAAGCGGCGGATGAGGAGCTGCAGGAGCAGGAGCATGAGCAGGAGATGGTCAACTCGCTGGACGTGGATGTGGATCCCGAGGAGGATGAGAACGACGGCACCGAGCAATCGCTGGCCGAGATTCTCGATCCGGAGCTGCAGCCAGAGCCCCCGATACCCAACGATGCCGAATCGCAGCTCATCTACCGGGAGCACCGACACATGGCCAAGGAGTACCTGAGCGTCGATACGAACCTCTACTATGCGCAGGACTTCAAGGACAAGCTCATTGTGCAAATGGATCGCACCGAGCGCGAACAGAAGCAGGAGCTACTGCGCAAGATGAAGGACAAGGTGCGCATTGCTCATGACCATTTTTTTAACTTTTAGCATTCAAGTGTTCATTCATTCTGCTCGGAATTTGCTCTTCTTGGCGTTCATTTAACTCCTGAAAATATAATTAATATCTGTACATTTATTTTGTATTTACCCAGGAGGGTCTGCAGAGTCTTTACAACAATCTGCAGCAGCAGTACGCTTCCCGCCGACTTGCCACCGGCCATCATCCGCACCCACATCCGCATCAGCATCCGCACTCCCATCCACATCCCCATCCGCATTTGCATGCCCAGCAGCAGGAGGAGGGCTGTGGACTGCTGCCCGGATCGGTGGGCGGAGGCTCTGAGTCCGTGGAGGAGGGCTGGGTGGTCATCCCAGCGCATCACAACGCGTAGTCTCGTGCGCCGTCGGATCGACTCTCTCTATGTCTTTTAGGCTAGTACTGTAACCTTTAATCCGTAATCCGTAATCCGTAATCCGTAATCTGTAATCCAATATTCGTAATCTGTAATGCAATATTCGTAATCTGTATCTGTACCATTAGCCATAGCACTTTGTTTATTTCTATTTCTAGAACTATTTCGGACGTGTTGTTCGTTGTAAGCGTTTATTTTTTATTTAAGTCTAAGCGTATTTAGTCCGTGTTTCTTTTAATTTAGCAACAAGTGTTTTGATTCATTAGCAGTCTCGCAAACTTCATTTAGGTTTTAATATTATGGTAAAGCTTAAAACACACATACTTAGCATTAACACATGTATCTGACAAGGAGTAGACCAAAAAAATATAAAAACCATCGAAAGCAACGACAAACAAACTGGCCCCCTTTTTGTTATTACATGGAAACTAGTTTCTGAATACCAAAATAGTCCCACACATGTAGACACCAAGAAGGAAAAGGTGCTGAAATCAAATCGATTTAGTTTTTCTATTTATTGCCGACGACCTTAAAATACTGAGTAATAAATTCTTTATACAAAATGTAAACCTAGAAGGTCCTTCCTCTTATCGTCGAGTCAACGAAGAACGTTTTAGTCAAATAACTTAGGCAGTGTCCTTGTTTTAGCATTGCAAGGAAATACACTCGAATGGGGATGCTTTGAAACCTGAAAACGTAAGTGATCAAGTTTAATGTCAAAAAAAAGGAATGAATGGGTGATTTTGCTTCGACAAAGGATATTCCAGACTTAGGAACGAACTTATCCTAGTTTATACAAATTAAGTACAAGTCCTACTTATTTTACACTCACTATTATCAGAACTCGTAAAGGGTTTTCTTCGTAAAAACTACGAATTAATGTGCAAATTTATCGAAATAATTCGTCTAGTTTTTAAAATTCGAAAGATACATAAAGAGAATCTACCCAGCATAAATAAGCTTTTGATTCGATGCAATTCAACAATTTGGTGAGTAATAGTAAACAATGTTCCAAAACGCAAATTCCGTGTAGACAAATGTATCTCACGTGAAAATTGTCACAACTGATGCAGATTGCATCTTTGATGCAGGACTTAAATCTGTAGACATTATAAACGTTATAATACATTGACGATACAGCATCAAAACATAACTCTAAAATTTTAGTTTTTTCATTCTACAAAAAAAAAATGTCTTGCTTTTAAAATACATCAATGGCAATTATCTTTGTTATGTTCGCCTATAACGTTTGCTTATTGCAGCCACACAAACAAAACCCTTTTTTCGAGCTCCGACTTATCAATAGACTGAGAAATGAAGGCATATGTGGTCTATACAAGTTAATTAAGTGCTATGTAATAATTTAGCATTATCTGTATATTCGTTTGGAAGCGAAATCAAGGCATATACGATCTAAACATGTTTCGTTGCCGTGCTTGGCACATTTTTGTCACTGCAGTCATCACAAAATCTCGCATGTACATAGGTCTACCGCTAAATATTATGAGAATCGCTAAATTCGATGGGGAGGAAGATGGAGATGGAGGCTTGGAGGCTTGGAGAGACATCAGTTAGAAATCGCGCATGGGCACATAGATGGCCACACAGGTCGACTCCCACACATCGTTGGGTGAGTCCCACGAGTCCTTTTCGCGCCACCACTCCTTGCTATCCAAGTCGTAGGCCATTGTCTCCGCACTGGCCCGATCAATCGACTCCGTAGAGTCCAGTCCGCCCACAAAGAATATGGTTCTGCCCATCGCGGTCACGCCGGAATAGAACTTTGGAGCTGGTATCTGCGTCTCCACGCTCCACGTGTTGCTCTCAATATCGTAGGCATAGATGTGCTCCACCAGAACACGCGATTCCGTCAAACTCTCGTGCCAGCCGCCGCATGCATAAATTTGATTATCCACCGCCACCAAAACGTGGTCACAGCACGGCGTGGGCATCGAGGCCAACTCCTGCCAGACTTCCGTCTTGGTGTCGAACACCCACATGCTCGCCAGTATGTTGGCCAAGTGGACGCCACCTTTTTAATGAGAAAAGTCCATTAAAATATGGACCTTAAGACGAACGCCTTCCGCTCATTGTAAACACAGCACGAACACTTTCTGCACTTTTAACTTAGTGCCTAGTGCCGCTGCAGCGTTCAAAAGCAGCTTTGGGCATTGAATACCCACCTGAGATGTACAGCTTGTCGCCCACAACGACGCCGGCATGCTGACTGCGATTCTCCTGCAGACTGGGCATATAGGTCCATACATTCTGGGCGATATCATAGCGCTCCACGTTAGATATCATGCGCAGGGCTTCGTCGGAGTTATCATCGTCCAGAATGCCGCCCACCGCATAAAGATGCTGATTGCCCACTGCGTTCAATGAGAAGCGGCAGCGATCCAGCTGAATGGGTGCTATGGTCATCCAGGTCTTCCTGAGCGGACAGTAGCAGAAGCCAAACGGATGGATGTACTCCTTTAAGCAGACATCGTAGGCTCCGCCCACGATGAATAGTTTGTTGTTCAGAACGGCTGTGCCAAAATTGCCTGGAATGCAATGGAACAAGTCTGCATAAGAAAATATTGGTGCGATCGATTCGTTAATGCTAGAGAAACTTAATCCGCGAACACTTACACTGATCGATGTGCGGAATGGCAGTCATCTCATACCAATTCATTTTCGTTGGCGAGAAGCACATTATCACGTTGGTCAGTCCCTTCCACTCGAAGCCCCCGATCTTCAGCAGGCACAGCTCCATGCCCCGCATGTTTGTCGGTCCCTGTGGCAGTGATTGATCCTCCAGGGGCACCACTCCGTTGAGCAGGCGCCCCATGTACTCCTGTTTTATTCGATTGTAATATGTGGTGGGCAGTTGCAGCTGCTTTCCCTCGTCCAGCGAGCAGTTCATGTGCCTCAGTTCGTCTAGGGACCTATAGCTAATGTGCGGCCAGTTGATCAGCCTCAGCAGATCCCCCAAAGCGTTCTCCTCCAGCTGTTTTTCGATTGCAAAGCTGCAAACCAGACGCACCAGGTCCTGCTCTGCCACGTCGAGGGGATAGTTGCTGGAGAGGATGAAGCGCAGCTGTTCCACCTTCATTTCCTTGAAATCCGACGTGGTCGCGAACTCCTCAAAGTGTGCGCACATATAGCGGTGAGCCCGCTCAGATAGGTCTATGATACCATAGATATCCGCCATTCCCGCGATGGCCAGGCAGTTATCCATCTCGATCTTTCCGCCCAGAAAGATCGTGCATCGCTCAATCACCTCGCGCACCTGGACGTGTGTGGCTGCCGCCAGGATCTCCTCGATATTATCGCAGTTCAGTTCCAGCGTCGATGTGTATATGTAGTCGATGATCGAGCCCATGGCCCTGGCTGTGATCCCATAGAGATTTATCTCGTCCTTGCGCGACTCGATCATGGCACAGTCGGCGAACATGGCGCAAAAGTAGTCGCTGCTGGCCGCCAGGACGACGCGGTGAGCCTGCAAGGGCACATTTTATTGTTAACCACTTGGGAAAATATGTCAAAAAGTAAGTAAATGTTTCGAAAGAACTATCTGTGTGACCAAAACCGCTAGTAATTTCCCATACTATTTTCAAAAACATTGCAAATTAGATTTCTGAAAAACTGTATAATAAAACAATTCTATGAATTTCCTAGATTGATGTATGTATGATGTTATATGAAGAAATATGAATCCGATTCCGGGAATTCCGAAATATTTACAAGTATACATAGGTAGTGCGTCATCGGCAGAAACACATCAATTTGTGTCGCGAATTTGTTTTCGTTTTGTATTATTAGCAAGAGAAAGTAAAGATGAGCTTTTTGCTGGCCACGATTATCGATTCGCCTACCACTTACCACTCTAACCCTATAACTAGTCACCTTATGCTTTCGCGGCTTTTGATACATGTATAATTAACACGAATGGCCAAATGCCGAAATTGCGAAACCGCCAAGTTTAGGATGCGAACAATCCGGTTTAGTGCGATTTCTATTTGTCCTATGCGCAGCCATTGATGGTATTGCCATAACTAACCTAGCCTAATCATAACCAACTTACACGAAAGATAATCTATTCATACTTGCTATGCGCACTTGTGCAGCCAGACTCTTGTGCAACCCAACCATGATACATATGTATGTACATATGTATGTTGCACTCCAGCTGCCTGCGAAGATGTGCCTCTGCACCCAATGTGGCACGGGGCAACGCGTAACCAGCTGATCCCACTCCCACAGATGGGCCACGATCTGCGGAGCTGCTCCACATGGCTATTGCTGGGGATCCTACCTTGAATCGGTGCTCCTCGACGATCAGAGTGACGTCCGTGAGTTTCTCCTCGTTGCGCAGTTTGTTGAGGCCGCGCAGAAGGGTTTCCTCCTCGGCGGACAGTTGATTCCAGCGATTCCCAGGAGTTTTTGGTGCAGTCGACGTTGCCGTCGCTGCCGGCGTCACTGCTGGCGCTGGCGTCGCTGCCATGTCGCTGTACTCTCACGGAACGGATTATAGATTAGCGCGGGCTAATAACCTATTTGTTCACTTCAGTTGGAAGTGGGGTGGGGTGGGTGCCCAAGGTTGGGGAATCCGTCTGATAAGAAATTCTTGAGATGATTTAGTTTCTGGTGCGAGTGTGAGTGCGAGCGAGAGGGCAGCACGTTCTGTTTACACTCGCGACCAGCTGTCCACAAACCGTTAGTTGGCGAACTCCGAGCAGTTCCACGACAAGTATACGCAATAAATTAGATAAATTATTACTAAATCCGAGCGGAGACAAAAATTTCGTGTGTTTGCTTTGCTTGTTGCTGCCCCTTTGCTTCCTTTTTGTTTCTTTTGACTTTTTACCTTTCGTTTTTGACGTTTCTTCTCTTGACGTTTGTACTGCCAAATCGGTTAGCACCGCTGGTGATGCGCAACTAGCTATCGATTGACTAGCGCGATCATTTGAAATTATATAAATAGCAATGGTTTCAAGTATACTATCGAGAATACTATCAGAAATATTGAAGTATTGCCTGACAACGAGTTGCTTTTTGTCAGAAAATGTAGATCTGCAAGCTTTAACCAAAAAAAAAACTTTTTAATTGAGTAATCTATATAAATATATATGTACAATCACTGTGTTAGTCAGTTGGGGAGACAGTTTTTTTTTAATGTTTTTCTTCTTCGAACTAAATTTATTTCGCGAGTGATTTCAATTATTGCAATAAATTTTGAAGAAAGTGCTGGTTTAGCGAGTAAATAAAATGATCTGATTTATTTTACTCGCAATATCGATAGTAACTAGTGTTGACAAATGCCCAAAGTGGTGCGCAGTGGTGATATCGCAACAAAAGCCGATAGTCTGCTGCACAGTATCGATAAGTGTCGAGGCACGAAAACATCGATATCAGCATGAGCATCGGCCGCATACCATCTCCACTCGACTGGTCTGGTCACTCGAAAATCACATCGGACGAATCGAGTGGAAAGCGGAGCAAGTAAAACAAGAAGTAGAGTAAAACACACAATTAATTAATTGTAATTTGACCGAAAGAGCAGACGGCGCGCGCGCGATCGTCTAATTGTATTGTGAATTAACGCAGCGTAAGTGCAGGCGAAACCACAACAACAAACGTGTGGCGTGAATTTTTTTTTGTGAAAAGAAAAAGGCGAAAAGTGCAATAAAAAAGTAAAAAGCAAGCGATAAATGTGTACAAGGCGTACCAAAAATAT